CTCACCTGAGGGCCCGGCTCAGCTTGTCATAGTTCATCTGTGGCTTGCACTTCCTGCGGCCCCAGAGGCGAGCCACCTCATCTGGATCCTTGATGACAAACTCCCCGTACTCTCCCTGCTGCCAGGCGATGACATGGCGGAACTCTTCTTTCTGCAGCAGCTCCAGGATGAAGTGCCACAGCTGGATCTGCCGGGAGCCTGGTGATGACTCCGCTTTGTAGGCCCAATCAGGCAAGGCTAGACCTGGAGTGGGGGAGGCAGAGGGGTTGCCTGCCCTGCCCAAGCCAGCTTCAAAAGCATGGGGAATGGGCAGGGAGGCTTACCTGAGATGCAGTAGTTGACAGGGGTAGCCAGGATGCCTTCTGAGAAGCAGCTGCAGTGCATGGTGTGTGGTAGGTGGAAGATAGTTGAGTTTGTACCTCAGGCTTGCTAAAAGTAAGGGAAAGAGGGAAAGAACAGAGGTGAGGAAGGAAGAAAAGCATCCAGGACAGAAAATAGAAGCCAAGCAAGAATGTGCTTGTTTGCAGCCCAGCCTCTGTGGGGACCTCCTTACCGCTTAGAGGCTGCCCCAGGTGGGCTTGGGTCTGAGCCCAAGGAGGAAAGGGAAAATATCCTCCATCCCAACTCTGATGGAGTTAGACAGAGAGACAAACTGTCCTTAGGGCTCAGCAGGATTTTGCTTTTGAGAAAAGAAGAGGGGATGAGCCCTCTGTGAGCAGAGGAGCAGTAGCACGTATACATACTTGTAATGGATTTTGGTTGTTTTGAGACAGGTTCTTATGCAACTCAGGCTGACTCTCTATCACTGTTCAGCTGAGGCTGACCTCGAATTTCTGACCCTGCTGCCTCCACCCCTGGAATGTTGGCATGGCTGGCATGCGCCACCACACTTGGTGCCCCCTTCTGGTAGCTTTACAATTTCACATTTGCGATGGGTGAGATTTGTGTTGTGTGTGTGTGTGTGTGTGTGTTGTTTCCACCAAAGCCCAAATGCCTAGTGCACAGTTGTCAATAAGGGATTGCTGACAGAATAAAATGAATGCTAACAACTTTTCAATGTTCTCATTCTTTTGTTGCTGTGGTTTTAAAATCTCACCTCCCTTCTATTACCTCCCAAACTACGTAGGATCTAGTCATTATTTCATATTTTTTCTCTAAAAGTTGTTACCTCCCTTCCAGGGTAGTTGAGGGGTGACACCTACCTTTAGGGTTTCCCTCCCACAGCCTGGAGCCAGAGAGAGGAAGTGACAGATTTGGGCAGGTGGGTAGATAGTTACATGGCACGAGAAGATGGAGCCAAGAAGGGCTGCCTGTTTGAGATCAGAAATTCAAGACATGTTTCTCCAGTCTGTGTGTCAGGGAGGCAGAGGCACATCTGCCCAATGCCACAGTTCTACCCAGCTGGGCATCCCTTTCTAGAGCAGAAAAGTTGAGTGCTATCAGCATGGCTGTGCTGCTCCTCAAGGCTCCTGTGGCTGTGGCTGTCTTTTTGACCCCTTTCTCCTCTTGGTGGGAGAGAACAGCAGCTCCTGCCTGGGGGTTTCCCAGGTTAGCCCAAAATGGCAGCCAGCATGGATGGAGCCAGCTAGGCCCTAAGAGCAGCTGGCACACACATCATAGATCCTCTTGTTGGATAGCACCTCCTGGAAAAGGGGCCATCAAGATTCAGGAGTTACCCCAAAGAGGCGAGGTTGGCTGAAGAGGAGCACAGTGGGACCAAGGGCAGAAAATATGGAATCTGGATGAATTTGTGTGACGTTTTTGTGCACTGAGATGCTAATCCCTGCATGGTTCTACTTTCAGCAGATCTGTTGTCCAAGCTGGCACTCAACAGTGTCATTTTTGACAGCCGTGCTTCCTGCTGGAGCTCGGGGTCCCTGGCTGTCTTGCTCAGGGCCAGCCCTTTGGATCACATCCTGGTGTCATGTCTTGTATTTGTAGGTGATTAGTGAACCAGGGGTAAGGAAGAGGGATCTTGCTGGTTCTCGAGGGAACAAGGAGCATCAAAAGGTTTTAGAACCATCCCAGTAAGACAGGTTTGCCTGAGGTGGAGTAAGGGAGGAGAGGGGGCGCTAGCAAACTGGGGTGAAAGAGAGGAAGCTGGTGCAAGATGCTGGCTTCTGCTGCCACTTGTGGGATGTGAACAGTGTGCAAGAGTAGGGAGGAAGGATATGGGAGAGGGCCATGGAGCATGATGGAACCTGTTCTTGGGGTAGCCCAGACAGGACTCCCATGCTGGTGAGTTCACCATGAAAGAAACATTATTCTCAACTAGAACTTTGTAGGTCTGGAGGGCAAACAGACATTGGTGTGTGGCAACCTCCTACCATTCTAAAGAGAGAGAGAGAGAGAGAGAGAGAGAGAGACTTGATCAAGCCTCTCAGCGAAGCAGTAGTCACCCTCAGAACCTTCTCTGCTGATTTTCCTGAGGACTTAAAAGCATGCCGTCCTTGGCAGTGGCTCTTGCTCCCATGAGTGTCAGGAGCCTCTGCAGCACAGGAGGTCTGAGAGGCCACTCTGAGCCCCAGCAGAGTTAATGGATCCATCAAGATCATTCTGCAAGTGAGACTGCAAAGAAGACCGTAGATCAAGATCTTGAAGATTCTAATTGGGCGTGGTATACATGTCTGTAATGTCGTGTGCTCAGGAGGCAGGCGCCAGCCTGGGCTACATAGAGAGTTCCAGGACAGCCTGGGCTACACAGTGAGGCCCTATTTAAATAGGAGAGGAAGAGGAGGAGGAGGAGCAGCAGGAAAAGGAGAAAACAGGGAATCCAGAGCTTTGAACACATAGGGTTAATGACATGTATGTGTCCTGGAATTAGGCACATGTAGCCCTTGCTTGTGAGAGGGGTTGAGAGGGGTATCCTTACACCTTCATGAGGAGGAAGGGGAAGGGAGGAAGAATTCAGCCATGGAAATAGGCAGGCTGCTGACACCCCCTCCCTGACCTGAGAAAAGACAAAACAGTTGTGGGGCATGACTGATCCCAGCATTTGGAAGGTGGAGGCAGAAGGAACAAGAGTTCAAGGCCAACCTCAGCTACATAGCAAATGTGAGACCAGCCTGGGCTATATGAGACCTGCCTCAATAAATAAGACAAAAGACAGCCTAAACACAACATAAGCAAATGGCCTCTAAACCATGAAGCCAGAGAGGTTTGGGGTGACAGTCTTGATACAGTAGCTTCCTCTGAGATGTGCCCTGTTTGTGAGCTGTGCATGAGTCTTCCAGAGGCTTGCCAGTCTAGCTGTGGAGAGCCTTAGTGTGAGGAATTCTTGCCAATGGTCTCCTGCAGAGTGGTCCTGTCCTGCCCAAGGCCCCAAGCTGACAGTGGAGGAAGAACATCCTTCAGCTCTACCACCGTGGGGTCAGCTATTTCTGTCACTTAACCTTAATTTCCTGTGTGTCACTTTAAAAATGTATTAGTGTATACAGTCAGAGAACAGTTTTGTGGAATCTCTTCTCCTTTTCAAGCGGGTTCAGGGATGAACCCAGGTCACCAGGCTTGCTCTGCAAGCGCTTTATCTGCTGAGCCATCTAGCTGATCCCTTGTGCCACCTGCACACTGGGTGCAGAACTTCCCTGGCTGGGAGGTTCTGTGCCCTCCGACCTGTTCTCTGGCCCCAGCCCTGGCTAGACTGCACATGTAAAGGTTGGGCACATTCTACTTACTGGTTGTGAAGAGCAGCACCCACGGCAAGATTAGCACAGCAGCTTGCAGGCTAAACGCTAAGAGTCATAAATCCTACCCAGTCTGGCACAGTCATCGTGGTCCCAGAGCATCCTGTGTCTCTGCAGGAGCTCAGCGGCAGGCGGTCGCTGTTACCATCTCTTGTCACCCTGGTCACTGATAGTGTTAATCCCCTGGCCAGTGAGGTGCTCCTTACAACACAAGTAGGTTCTAGGTCATTATTTAATAAAAGCAGCAGAGATAACACAGACAACAAAAGGAGCAAGGCTTCAGCTGGGCGTGCCACCAGAGCAAACTCCCCAGCTGCCTCACTGGCCACACTTGCAGCTGCTGTGGCCATGGGACACAGCTTCAGGATGAGGTGCTGTTCTTGTTATGTTACTTCACTGATTCCTCACAATAACCTTTTGAGGTTAGTATTGGCTACATTTTGTAAGCTGAGGAAACAGAGGCTCAAAAGATTAAGAGACTTGCTCAAGATCCTGCCAAGTGGTGGAGCTGGATGGGAACAGGTCTGTCTGACCCGAGGCTCTGAGGTGTCATTGGTGAACCAGGACAGAAGAGTTGAAACTCTTGGGAGAGAGGCAAGGCTGGCAGGAGGCCTTTGCCCTGAAGGAGACTATCAACAAAGCCTGGGATGTGAGCTCTTGGCCAGAAAAGATTTCAACAGTAGCCCCAGAAAGCCAGAAGCCAGAAGCCAGCCAGACCAATGGGCAAGGCATGAGAAAGACAGGAGCACAAAGACAGAGATACAACAGACATACACAGACATGCATAGAGACACACACACACAGACACACACAGACACAGACACACACACAGACACACACAGACACACACAGACACACATAGACACAGACACACACAGACACGGGCACATACACACAGACAGACACACACAGACACAGACACACACACAGACACACAGACACACACAGACACACACAGACATGGACACATACACACAGACAGACACACACAGACACAGACATACACAGACACAGACACACACAGACACAGACACACACAGACACAGACACACACAGACACACACAGACATGGACACATACACACACAGACACGGACACAGACACACACAGACATGGACACATACACACACAGACACAGACATGGACACAAATATACAGACACACACACAGATACACACAGGCACACACACACAGACATGGACACAAACACACACATACACAGATACAGACACACAGACACAGACATACACAGATATGGACACAAACATACAGACACATACACAGAGACACATTTACATGGATACACACATAAGGCACACACAGACACATATACACAGAGACACACAGATACACACAGAGACAATTATACAGATACACATGCACACAAACACAAAGACATACATATAGACACACACAATCACACACAGACACATACATACAAATACACACAATCACACACAGATACACACATGGACACATATGCAGGCACACACATCGACACACACATGCACATACACACACCGCATATATGTAGAATCTTAGTGCTGGATGGGGTAGCTCACACTTGCAGACCGCGCACTTGAAAGGCAAAGACAGGAGGCTTGCCCCTAGTCAAGGCCAGCTTGAGTTACAAAGAGAGTTTTAGGCCAGCAAAGGTGCCATAGGTAGACCCTGCCTCAAACAAAACAAAACAAATCAGTA